AGAGTGAACCATATCCCCCAACCTTTCTGGTATGGGACTCCTTAGCCCCGTACGGCTGAGATATTGTCTACAGTAAGGTTTTTCTATGTACCGGGTCCGTCCACCCTTTCCTAGGGTACCTAGTAAACCTTTCATATATAGATCCCCATCAATAAGTAATCACTAATCGCTACTAACATCTTATTTTATATTCACAGATCAATCAAACAGAATTTAAGCAAATAGTACATTTTTATATTTTAACAATTAAGAAACATAATTAGGGTCCTTATTTCAACTCAATCAATCAGATAAAAATTATAATTGGATAATTAATAACGAGAAAGCAATTAAATATAATAATTTAATTCATACGATAGAACAATAAGTAATTTAAGCAGTACAAGAAAATAAATAGCCACATAGACGAGTTTAGGGCAATTGCACCCTTACCAGTTTTTCAGTTACACTAATGACTTATAATTATTGTTAGAAATTTTTTTAATTTTTACAAAACATAGAATTATCAATTATTAAGCCTCTATTTACCGTAACAGGGAATATAGTGATGGATCCCTACCTGGATCGGTATTTGGAGATGTTACGTTGTCTACCACGCCTCCTAACGGGTCTTGAATTTCTTGAATTTTTTTACGAAAATTCAAAATATTTACCACGCAACTAAAAATACTCCTAAAATCCCAAATCGGTGTCGAAAACTCTTTTTGGCCAATTTTAGGGTTCCAGCACGCGCCACCGTTGTGCTTTAGCGTCGGCTCCGCTGCCCACGGCGAGGGTTTGCCTCGGTCTAGTTAGTTTTGACTGGTTTTACACGTATCCATGCAAAAAAAAATACGTTATGGGGCCTTAGTTGGCCGAAAATTACAAAAAAACCGAACCTACCAGCGGGGGGGTCTCCAGGTGCGGTGGCTTTACCGGTTCTCCTTCGCGGTTGGGGTTTCTTCTTCAGCTAACCTGCATATAAAAGAACAGTGAACACAATGGTCAAAAAATTACGTGAAACAGAAAACGGGAAGGAACTCATCGAAGGAGTTTTATGGTTTCGACCGCGATGGCTCCGCCGGGTTTTGTCTGTAGTTTTTGGCTTACCCGCAGTCACTTTTGCTCTTATACAGCCACAAAGAGATTCGGAATCGAATTCCGAGTGGGTATGAATAAATTTTATCTTTTTCTCTCACGTAGCGCTGACATCAGCGTGATTTGTCATGCGGCGTGCTCTGGTTCGTCGAAGCTGCTGACTGGGTCATCCCACGCGACCGATTTTTTTTTTTTTTTTTTTACATTTTGATCTACTGTTTCTAATTTTTCTTTTAAAAATAGTCATCGTTCCACGTGGTTAAATTCTGGATTCGGGTATTACAAGAAGTATATAATGTCTTAGTAAACATATGAATATATATATATATATATATGTCTATAGTTACAATAATTTCAAGAATACTTTTGAGGAACAAAGTTCTACATGATGGTGTGGAATAATTTTAGAGCAATACATCTTGCATTGAAGGGTGAGTTCTGTTTTGATAAATTCAGTTATCTTAGCCGCTCCTCTAACGTCACTAATCCAAGTAAATTCATTTGAAACTTCACTTCCCAAAGAATACCATTATTCTAAGTTCAATATCTTTAAAGATAATTTTGTTTGGACCAAATATATATATATATATATATATATGTAAGACAATTGAATAGGTCGGGTGAATTTAAGGTTCAAAATTTTGGACGAATTTCAACTTAAAATGAAAACTATCAATAGAATGAATATACAGCTACGTATATGCTTATTTATTATATATTCTTCATAAATTAATTCAACATTTGGTCAGGTCAGCAACCATGTGTACGCTTGAAAATACAAATAGAAAATTCATACCAGCAATTTTATGGTAAATTTAAAAGGATAAATATATACACACAATAGATTTTAATTATTTCAAACGTTAATTAATTGTGATTTAATCGGTAATAAGTGAAATTAATTTTTTAAATAATATTAATTATTATTATTATTGTGCGAGCTAAAAAGAAAAAAAAAAGGAGAGACCCTGAAATTCCAAAGCCCAAACTCCTTTATTTCGGCCCAGCTCACTTAGCCCTGTCAAAATTGGCCCGAAGCCCAACTTGACATCTGGCGTCCCAAAACGGTGGCGTATTAGGAAGCCGTATAGGGGGGTGGAGATTGGGGTTTCTTTACCAACATTTGCCCTCTTTTCTCCTTTCTCCTGCAATGACGGAGAAGAGAGCGGAGGTGCTGTGATGCAATGAAAAGGGAAAAGGTTAGATGGCTTGCGGCTAGGTCAATTTTGGTTGGACCTCCAAAGATCGAGGAAGAGAGATAATGTTGTTTCCTTTTAAGGATTGCATGAAGTAGGAGCGTGGACAGAGTTCCGAGAATGACTCAGGTATGCGTCATGCCAATTTGTGCGTATATTTATGCAAATGGTGTGGTTGTGGCATTGATCGTACGTGTATGTGTTGTTGGTGCACGTGAATCTCGCCGGCAGATGGATAGCTAATTGTTTTATTTGTTGAAGAAGATGTACGGAAGGAGATTCTGGAGATGGCGATTAAGGTTTTCGTCTTTCTCATGACCCTTCCTCTCCTAGTGCAGGTAAGCATTTTCTTTGCTTATTTTTCTTACATTTTTGCCAGTTTCTCGTCTAGATTTAGGGCTAGAAACTTTACATGGTATTAGAGCAATGAAGAATGAGAACTTTGTTTCAAATGCAACCCAACAGCCAGATTTTTTTAGCAGAGGGGTCCGGGACCCTTTACACCCTAGTAGCCCTTGTTACATGGGAACTAATGAAAGCTCCGGTGCTCTATTATAACACAGTTGTTGGATTCTATGAACTACCATTCTTGGGCTAGATTTATGAAGCGTGCCCTTAGAATAAAAAAACAAATTAGTGTTTACTGATGGAAGTATTAGAGAATCTGTAGATCCAAACAGCCCACTCATGGACACTGGCTGCATTGTAATGATATCGTAATAACAACGTGGATACAAATAACAGTGTCTGTTTGACATTAAATGAAGTACCTTTTGTGTTGAATCTGCTTTTCAACTTTGAAATGTACTTGAATAAAGACATACTCAAAGTAATTGCCCTAGAATTCATGAAGTGAAACGATCAATGGCTAATCTAGTATAGGAGAATGGCACTTTTGAGGTTTATTTTTTGAAGCTTAGAGCTCCCTTTGATGAACACCGGCGAGGAGATTAGGTGATGAAGTTTCTGATGAGACTGAACGAAATATATAAAGACATTAAGGCACATGTTTGTTGATAAAATCCTTTCCGAGCTTAAATGAGGTGTACTAAATTGTATAACAGGAAGAAAATGAAAGGAAATATCGACGGATGTTGCACCAAACAGGCTCTAGCCTTTAGCATTAAGGAGCCAAACAAAAACACTGGAGTTACTGTTGCTATTGGAGAGAAGTATTACTGCTCACACTGTGAGGTAGTAGGCCATTCTGTGGAGAGGTGCTTCAAGGCCAATTCAAACAAACCGGTCATAGCACACTGTGAGATGTCTGGACAAAATGTGGAGGAATGCTAGAAACTTCATGGATACCCTAAAGGAAACAAGCTGCATTGCGTGGGAAGGCAAAATGTTAATTGTTAACCAGGTCTCCACTTCACCCATGGTTGAGGAAAATGGATTGGGAGACCACAACATGATCGCTCAAAAACAGTATGCACAATTGATGATACTGCTTTAGCGAAATAATGCTTCTGCTTACATGGTTCTAACACAACCTTCAGTTTGCCCAGACAGCAACACCCTGGGATTCTCTAGTATGCCCCTTTGTCTCGGATCAGATTTGGTTGTGTGTTTTCCCAACATTCGGTATGTAAGAATGACATCGATAAATATCATAATAACTATGCTTCGATACCAATCTATCTATTTCAAATATATGTTAAATTATTTTTTTAAATTTTTTTTCTCGATATTTTTTGTAGTTATGAATTGTATTGTCTCTATCAGCATTGTAATGTGTTAAAATTTACTTTATGTGTAGTATCTCTAATGTAATAAATCATTTAATAAATTTTAAATAAGTAAAAAGAAATAGAAAGATAGAAATAACAATAATAATATAATGAACATAAACAATTTTACATACAAACCATTCATTTTAAAGTCTTTCTATTTGAAATTTTTACATATTGGACCCTATTCTAATCTTCAACTAATATAATTACTCATCACAGTTCTCTAATAATTCTTTTACGAGATTGTCACTCCATTCAATGTCCTTTTGCAATTCTTTTCTATTAACTATGAAATTGTCTTTCCGTTTAATTTCCTTCCACAATTAATCTATATCAAATACGATGTTGCCATTTCGTTCAATTTTCTCTCGCAAAGGTGCAGCAACGATCATCTTCTCAACTATTTCTCCATCATTATACTCTGCCGCCAAGTGTGTAGCAGTGACCAATGGATTGATGTCTCCCGCTACTAAGGGTGCATTAATGGTCATATCCTCAACTATTTTTATATTATTAGTAGTATGCATTAAAAATGACGAATTGATGCACTCGATTTAATATTGATTATGGTCTTCTACATCAACGTTTAATTTTTTTTTCAAGTGTTGTTATCTTGTTGATGATATACTAATTTAATTTTTGTTAATTGTTGAAGTTTATCCATATTTTTGTTTTTAATTTTACGAGTATGTAATCGTTTGAGTGAATTAAAAAAATTATAATAATTTTAAATAAAACTGTTAAATAATATTTTTAATATAAAATATAAAGTAACAAATATAGAAATTTAATATTACAGTAATCAAGTTAATATTCACCTATTAGCTCAAAAATGTATATATAAAAGAAAAATTAAATTTTCTCCCAACATTATTCACAAATAAAATTTGGACCGTTCTTGCAGATTCAAGAAATGGTAATTAAAGACTTGCAAACGTATGCATGGAAACTGATGGAGGTGGAATCCTTCAGATGATGGAATTATAGAAGTGATTCATATAATATAATATATATATATGAAAGAGCATTAGTTCTAATTTACTCCTATATACATGCATATATATATATATATATATATATATACTTTCACGAATACAAGAAACAGATGGCATACAAGGAAAGAGCAAGAAAATAAAATCTTAAAGTTTATGTGTGCAGCAGCTGATGATGGTGGACAAGTACTGTATGGTTCTAATGAGGACTTGGAACAAGAACTCAGCATCTTCTCACAAAAGTCTTGAATATTGATGAATCTCAGTGGCAAATGGCAAGAAGCTGATTGCAATGCAAGAAATATAATATAAAAGAAACATAAGTATATGTATATAAATATCTATACAAACAAAGAAGAAAGAACTACTATAACTATATCCATACAAAGCAAGAAGCTGATTAAAGAACTTCAAGAAAGTAAGAAAGAGTATCACATATATATAACATATAAAAAAAATTACTCCTATGATTACGCGCATGGAAAAACTTGAATGAAGAAATTATAGAAACGATACATATATATATATATATAAAAGGAATAGGAACAACTGGCAACAACCGTACTTGTTTAGGACAAGTGTGCCAACTTGTCGAGATCAGCAGAAGTTCTAGTCAGCATGCCAACTCATCCCACAGACCGTAGACAAATACGCATGGCCGACAACTGGAATGCAATCGTCCTCAGTTTAAGAGCCAAATCTTTTCTTTCTGAAAACCGTTAAAACTGCATGTACCTCATGCTTATTCCGCGTTGTTTTTTTGTTCTCTGTTGTCTCATGTGTTATTTTTATTTTCTGTCTGTTAAGAGCCAAAGAGCTCTATAAATGTATTCTCCTTTTAACCAAGATGACTATGAATGAAGATTACATTTTGCTGTGAATTGTCCAGCTTCCATACACAATACCAAAATAATTGTTTTCTTAACTTGGTATCAGAGCTCAAGGCATAATGGCAGGAGAGAACAGCAACTCCTCAACCTTCAACCCAACACCTCAAAGAGTTTAAACTCTATCTAGTAACTCAATGAGCTCTGTGTGTACTCTGAAACTCAATCACGACAATTATTTCCTCTAAAAAAACTTGGTACTCCCAATCATAAGAGGAAACAAACTTGAAAGTTACCTCACCGGCACCAAATCAAGCCCACCTGAGTACACAGAAAGAACCATAGAAGGAAGTGTTGAAATTGAAGTCATAGTAAATTCAGAATTTGAAGACTGGTTTGCACAAGATCAGATGCTGCTGGGTTGGCTTTACAGCTCCACTGAAACTAACATAGCCTCCGAACTGATGGGGCATTCAACATCAAAACTCCTTTGGGAAGGAATCCGTGATCTTTTCACAGTTAAAATACAAGCAAATATAATCTACTACAAACGAAAATTTGTTAAAATGCAAAAGGGCAACTTGAAGATGGAAGAATACTTCAAATCCATCAAACAAATTATTAATAACCTTGCCCTAGCAGGACATCATGTTACTCTGTAGGATCTCACCTCACAAGTTCTTACTAGTTTATATTCCTCTGAATACAACTCACTCGTGTGTAGAATCACGGAGAAAGAAAGCATAAGTTGGGTCGAACTACAATCTCGACTACTCAATTATGAAAAACGGCTACAACAACTCAACTTGACCACGGCCACTCTAAACCTCGAACGTCCCTCAGCGCATTTCTCCAGCATCAAAAATAACAGAACTCATCAGAACTTACCATCTCAATCAATTAATAGAGGAGGATGACGCAACAGCTCTTTTAACATAGGAGTTCGTCACAACAACAGAAGAGGAGCAAGAGCTAGTGGAAACTCCAGACCAATCTGCCAGGTGTGTGGCAAAATTGGCCACACTATTGTTTACTGCTATTACCGATATGACAATAGCTACATGGGAACCATCCCAGAAAACTATCCAAAGGCATATCAAAGTTCAACCTTTTCAACAACTCCTGAAGACACCCTTGAAGATCCACTTTGCTATGTTGACAGTGGTGCTAACAATCATGTAATAGGAGATGCCAACATACTGCAGTCCAAGCAACAATATAAAGGAAGTGAAATTCTCATGATTGGAAATGGTGAGAAAATGTCCATCAAACACGTTGCTAAGATAAACATTCACACTCCCAAAAATAGAAAACTAACATTAAACAAAGTCTTGCATGTACCAAAGATCAATAAAAACTTACTGAGTATTTCTCAACTTACCTCCACTAACAATGTTGAAATTACCTTTGACTCATCTTCCTGTTTTGTGAAGGACAAAGCTACAAGCAAGGTGCTGCTGCTAGGGAAGCTTAAAGTCGGCTTATATTGCTCGGGCTCATCAGGATCAACTCCTCCTATTCATCCTTGTTGTCAAGCCTTCTTCAGTGGCAGACATAATCAAACCCCTGAATCAAGAATCTTGATGTGGCATAGAAGATTAGGACACCCATCTTCAAAAACTTAATCTGTCATCCTGAAATCATGTAACGAATCATTTAAATTTAATGAAAATATATTTTGTGATGCATGTTAACTGGGCAAGTCTCATCTTCTTCCTTACACTCTGTTTTTATCAAATGCAAAAGCCCCCTTCAAAATTGTTCACACTGATGTTTGGGGACTATTTACTCTCTCTTCTCTCTCTGGCCATAGGTACTATGTAATTTTCATTGATGATTATAGTCGATTCACTTGCCTTTATCCACTAAAATAGAAATCAAAAGTCCTTCAAGCCTTTACTCTATTCAAACACTAAAAAAGAAACTCAGTTTGGAAAGAAAATAAAGTGTCTTCAATCAGACATGGGAGAAGAATTCACTGGCCTAGCCCAGACTCTCCAAAATAATGGGATTAGGATAAGATACTCATGCCCCTACTCTTCAACTCAAAATGGATGTGCTGAAAGGAAACATCGGCATATAACCGAAACTAGTCTCACTCTTTTTGTCGAGTTAGGTGTACCATTGAAATACTGGCTTGATGCCTTTGAAACAACCATATTCTTGATCAATAGAATGCCTACACCTACCTTGAATCAGTTTTCAATACTAGAAAAATTTTACCACAAAAAGCCTAATTACAAACAACTTAAGACCTTTAGGTGTGCCTGTTTTCCTTGCCTACGACCGTATTAAAACCACAAACTCTCCTTCCACTCAACAAAATGTGTTTTTTTTAGTTACAGTCCACTACACAAGGGATACAAATGTCTCAGTCCCACCGGCAAAATACATGTTTTCAGAAATGTTGTCTTCAATGAACTAAAATTCCCTTATCACCATGGCTTCGTAAAAACATATCAACCCAAAACTGTTTCTACAATCACACCGTCTTCTTAGTTGAACATATCTTCCAATCCAACACCTCTTATCCCAGAAAGTCCAAGCAGACAATTCACTGAAGAAACTCTAGCACCAGCTTCCTCTCCTGTGGCAGAGTCATCACCGCAACACTCACCAAGAGATGAAGAACCAGTGTCCTATCCCAGTCAAAGCATAACACCATCAGAACAAGAAGAAGAGAGAATACAAGTTGAAAATACGCTGATAGAAGCACCAAGACACCAGATGATGACCAAAGCTCAAGCAGGGATCTTTAAACCAAGAAACATGCCACAAGACTTCCAACTATTCAAAGTAGTGATGGTAAGAGATATATATATATATCTTATCATTTTTATATCAGTTCCCACAAAGTTTAAAACCCAGCAATTTTACAATTGTGCATTCAAATGAAAATCCAAAAGCTTCAATTCTGAAAGTTCTACCATAAAATAGAATCAAAAGGGCAATACATCCACTTTGAAGATTCTGGTTTTGGTATATCAAGGTCTCTCCAAATGACAAGGAACATACTTCAATTCCAAATAAATATTGACGAAAATTTCTAATCGATTGCGTCTGTTTGACATGAGACCACCAATT